ACGCCCCGAGACGCCCACATATTGATTGGTGCTGCATGGCAACATTATTGCTGCATACATTTTGGCATGCGCTTAATTACATAGCAGTTACAGGAATGCGTTAGTATGTGTGCGTGTGTGCTATGTAGTTGCTGGACTTGTGTGTGTGCGTGTGTGTGTGTGTGACTATTATGCACGTTAGAAACACGGCACACTTCGCTGCGGCTAGCAGCATGGAAAAACAAGCGCGCTCGCATTAATTGAACAATTTTTAGCGCAACTTTTTTTTGCCATTTTCTAGATTATTATCGCTTGGGGGGGTCTTTAACTTTTTTTCCTGAAGCCACAACACGCGCAGCGCTTATTAAACGACGCCCCGTGACAGGCTTCGCGTGTTTATAATTCACACTTCTGTTGAATGCTCCAATACCTACGGAAATTTACCGTAGCACTTGCAAAACTGGCTTAAAAAACTGTATAAAAAAATGAAGTCATTAAGTGCTGCAGCTTTGGAGGCGCTTATCAGCAGTTGAAAGTGCATTTGCCTGTTGCATGACAGAGTCTGGATATTGTTAATTACTGCTAGCAGACCGCTGCACGTTTATTAAAAAATTAAAAACATTAAAAGTAACTTAAGTACTAACAGCTTAAGTTAAGCAATTCGCTAGTTAAGCCACGGCTAACCGAAATCATAATTATATCCATATATAATTAAGTTTTTCATTGGATGAAAGGTTTTTAATTATATGTCCCACAATGAATATGATAGGGTTAAAACAAGTTGCGGACATTATTTAGCATGTAACATGTGTAATTATATCCTAGGATGTTTTTAATACACTGTAATTATATACAGGATGGTATTTGATCTCTAAAACTAAATGTATTCCACGTTGTATTCACTTTTTAAAAACTACCTATGCTGCTCGGAAGTTTAAGAAAATCGATTTTTTGAGTATCGCCTTACTATGCGATGTGGTCAACCTAATATATTTGCTTAAGTCAAATTCAGGCTGAGCAGTATATAAATATAAACGGTATGTAGATATCGCCCTTCTTAGCGATTCTCATGCGGTCAAGTAAGACTCCCAGGCTTTCGTTCACTGATTATAAACATTATATAATTTACTCTTCTACAATCTTTCAAGCTCGCACTCTCGCTTTCCCTCATGATATCCTTCTTTCACGTTTTGGGCACGTTTTGGCTGTGTGGTTTACTACTGACCAGCATTAACCTATGTCTATGTATGTTTACTGTCTGTTTATCCTGAGTTAAGTTTTTACCTTACATTTTAGACAAAACTTTTCCAACAAATGTTCTCTATTGGAATTGATATTTACATTTAAGATAGTTAAATTAAAGAAAAGTTTGAACTCGAATGGCCCTTTTGGCCCTTGGGGAGGACTTTGAGATATTGCTGAAACACAAATTCCCTAATTTCTTTGCTACAGAAACTAACAATTAGTGAGTCAGTCAATCAATCAATCAAGCAGTCCATCGGTCAGTCAGCCGTGTCAAACAGTCATATATATAAATGTTGAGTAAGAGTGAATAAAAGTTTACTTTATAAGTGAACATAGTGTATTCACTGGCAGAACACACGCTCCAACTAAATATTCATGATAGTTTTTTCCGCTTTTGTTTTGCGCTGTATATCTCTGGCGCACAGCTGGGCATTTGCTTTGGTAATTTGTTAATGTTTTGTGAAAAAAAAACAACCAGAAATAAATTTGAAAATTTGTTGACAGCTTCAAATTTGTGCCCGCTGGGCGTTTGTCTGTCACGCAGGCCCCCAAATGAGCAGCCATCAAAATAAAAGGGTCCTGCGGCGTTCATATTTGTTTATTTATTGCCATCAAACCCGTAAACATTTTGTGCTTGCTTCCCTTGTCGTTTTATTTATTATTATTATTTTTTTTTGGTGTTTATTTAATGTTTATGAGCGCCGGATCCGTTGTTTGTGCCTCATTTGCATTTTATACACACCCAAGCCGCCTTAGATACCCCACCTCGCCCACTCGTAATGTCACAATTAAAAAAAAAAAACAAATAATAAAATAGAAAAAACGTGAGAAAATAGAAATGCTTAAATGTTTAGTGTTGACACACGCCAAGTGTTGCAGGACGCAGCGCCCGCGGACTTGCAACAGCCATTGTGCCACATTCGGTGCGAGCCATTGTTGTTGTAGCTGCTGCAGCCGTTGTTGCTGTTGTTGGCTGTTGTTGCTGCTGGCGTTTAGCTCGTTAGCCGGCCATCATGCAAGACTGCTGTGGCACGTACAAGTGGCAAATACAAAGGCAGTTGCGAGTGTGAAAGCCACTTGAAAACACGACTAATTGGAGCTGACGTTCTTATACATATGCGTACATACGTATGCCAAGCGCATTACGTATGCGCCGCGTTGTGCAACGGGCACTACAAATTTATGAGCACCATTGCTGCGACACACATACTCACACACACACAAACACAAACACTTACTCGCTCGCACAATTACAAAACTGTCGTCGATCGTTACAAATCAATGAGCACATGGGCAGCCTTCATATGCAGCAGTAACGAGTCATTAGCGACGCTCAGGGACGCACAGGACGTCGGGATGAAAATAGCTGAAGTAGCGCTAATTGCAAAGCAATCGAAGCACATGAAACGCGCATTAAATCACAGCTAAATCGGGTAGGGCTGGGCCTTCGGATAACTGTGTGTGTGTGCGTGCGTGTGTGTGTTACCGACTGCAAATGGCTCACATACTTACGCATTTATAAGGACACACATGCCACTTGGGAGCTGCTTAGCTCAGCAGTTGCCGGCTGCCGGTCCACCGGGAGCTGGCCCGGTAGCTGATGAAGGTCAATATGCTTACACTTAGCCTGATTTTCTTACGCTTTTGTGCATGCATGTGTGTGTGTGTGTATGTGTGTGTGCTTGGCTTTTATTGACAAATACATAAAATGCGCTTAAACCTTTTGTTAAGACGACGCACACCTTTGGTTACATTTAGGGTCCAACGTGTGTGTCCTCTGTGCCATGTCCTTCTTTCTTACTCTCTCCTTTGCAGAGAGTATTATAATTTTGTCATGAAATATGTAACCCATACAGGGAGACATTTCATACCCCATAAATATATATTCTAGATCAACAGTCGAGTTGATATAGCCTTCTCCGTCAGTCCGTCTGTTCGGTTGTCGGTCTGTCTGCTTCTACAAGGGTATTAAATCTTCGCCGTGCCGAAGGTATACTTATGTTCTCGTTTTTTTTTTTCGATGCAGAGGCTTTGCCTTTCATTTCGCTTGCTTAACTATTTATGAGCTAGCAATCCCTGGAACGCAGTGCGTCTTTATTTGTGCTGCTACTTTGCTGCCCTCTGGGCGTTAAATTGACTTGGCTTAGGCTCACACACTACACACACACACACTCACGCACTCGCACACTCTCTGTTATTCGCACACACGTGGGACTCACGCATGGCCGCATCTGGACAGGCATCTGCTCTGTCGAGTTACCTTGGAGATGGTAAGTTGATCATCAGCTTGAGCCCTTTGAACTTTCACTCGAGAACTTTAAACCCATTTAACTGGCTAAATTTGTAAAACGCGAGCGGCCTACCCGTAACTTTTGCGTATCACTTCGGAAATTAAATTTAGTACTGTCGCTAATTTCGCTGTTTGGCTCGCTGGGCAGAAGTTTAGTGTTAGCCAGTTTAACGCTACATAAGCCAAATGCTTAGCCTTTTTTATCACTGTCGCCTGTGCCATAAATAAGCCTAGATGGCTGACAAAAAGTAAAACGCGCTACAGCCGAAGACCCCGCCGAACTGTGCCGGGTCTGAACCCACCAAATGTCTCTAAGTAGCTACAGCACTCCGGGGAGCAATTGCCCCATTGGGCATCGAGACAGGTAGCGGTAACAAGTTGGGTTTTGACCCGCCTCGCTCTGGCATAGACCAAAAATTAAGTTACATTTTGGCCTGGCGAAAAAGTTGGCTAAAGAATGCCCGCGTCTGGCCATATGTTTCACTAATGGCCGCGCACATTGCGGTCATTAGGGGAGCCGCTGCTGCAGATGGTGCACAGTTGGATGGGCGACTTTTAGGGTCTTGGCAGAGCAGCCAGCGGACTATTTGGCCAAACACTTGAGAGTTTTATTGAGCGGTTTTTGCAACTTTCCAATGCGCCCATATATTTAAAGGCCTTTTTTCTGCACGTAGCGAGGTAATCCAAAAGACCAAACGGTATTAAACAAAATGATAAATTTGTAATCATGCTTAAAACACATAAAATTAAAAAGTCATATAAATCTATTGAGTAAACCATGGTAAAAATGGTCTACCGCTTAAAAATCGGTCAAGTTTTCAAGCAGCATGAGTGTACTTATTTTAAGTGCTAAATATCGTTAAAAAATACTAAATTGTAATCGTAAGTCTAAAGCTAAATAATTGTTGATACGAAATGTAGTTTAAACATTAGACATTAATATTCCATTTATCTTCCTCCCGTGGAAAATTTAACTTTCATCTTACTGTCTTAAAGTTCTCGTCTTAAGTTAGATTTGGCATATATTATTGAAAAAGAGTTTGCTTTGTAGCTTGAAGCATTTCGACTTGCATAAAGCTTTTAAACCGCATTTTCTGTCCAACCGGAGAATTTTGGGTCGAACATGTATCAAGCAAATTTTCATAATGATTTTCCGTAAAGTGTGAAACACTTCTCTAATAAGTTTGAACAAAGATCATTGAAATAGAGTTTGGGGCCAATCGGATGGTAAATAAAAATGTTTTACTGCTGGTCTTGGTGACCTTTCCATATTTTATTTATTTTATTGGCCGAACTTCGAGCCAGCCAATAAAATAAATAAAAATTCATATAATTCAAGCCGCGGTTTTTTTCTCAAAACCTTTGATAAGATTAGTTAGCTGTAAACACTGTAAATATTTAATCTAGATATCAATTACTTCAACTGATAAATAATCACTAATCAGTCAGTCAAACAGTCAGAACAAAAGGCTGTGTGTTATTTGTAATCTGCTCAACATTAATAATTCTCATTTTAACAAGCTTAAATAAACTTAAGCAGAGCCTCGGGTAAAACACAACAATTGTAAACATGAAAAGCCAAAATGAAATTTACTGCTGACTTGACGTAATTATAAAATAGAAGTCAGCTTGCAAAATATAACTAAATGCAACAGCATATGCGTTTCAAAAAATATTAAGTAATGTGCGGCTATAGTAAATATGTGTATTTCATTAATTAATGCAATGTTTAATATTTGCCTTAGTTTCGTTTAAGATTTCGGCAATTACTAATCAAATTATCTAAGTTGCAGGCAACTGCTTGAAAATTAATTTGTTGTCGGGAAGGTAAGGAAAATATACCTAGAATATTATGATTATATGTGCGGGCATGTGCATGCATCCAAATTACCAACACTAATACAAATATAATAACAATTATGCCGAAGAAGCGACGACTAATATGGAACAGGCGAGGCAGGTGGGCTTTGTTAAGAGGTAGATGCATGCATGCTGAGGTGGTGCAAATTGCTTTTCATTGCTTGCTTGAATGTAAGTGAGAGTGCGTCTGTGTGTGTATATTTACATATGCGACCAAATTATGCAACCCACTCACGTTTGCGACAATAACCTCAGGAATGTCTAGGGAGTATATGGAGGGGCTCAAAGATGTGTGCGCGCGTTTGAGTGTGTGTGCGTATGTGTGTGTGTGTGTGTGCATCTCTGCGCAAGTTATTACCGGGTATGTTTAAATTGCAAATGAGCTCGCCTAGCATTTCATCAAATCAAAGCAATCAAAGTAGCATTCACCTACTCAGCTCTCTCCCAATTCATCAGTAAGTCAGACATCCAGTCCGTTAGTCAATGATTGTCCAACTGATTTGAGTGCATATCCTTTGCAGCCTGCTGTGTAGATTCAATAAAATGTTTGCTTTCATTGATACGAATCTGTTTGAGCAGACATTTTGAATGAACGGGTAAGCCAAGGACATTCCTGGTATTTATTGATCCAACGCATTATAAATCAAAGAGATTAATCATGCCGTACAATGGCAAATCCCTTAAAAAGGAATTGCAAATTCCGGCCTTTTGTATCTCCGACTGAGCCAAATATTAGCACACTTGAGCCGCTGACAAAGCTAGAAATAGAAATGCAAAAACAAAAAACAAAAAAATAAATAAATAAAAGAACCCAAAGCACAAAGTAGAAAATTATGCAAACGAGACCACTCTCGCTGCGAAAAAAGGGACAACGAGTCCCAATATCACAGAGTAGACCACAGAAGAATTGGCCTAAAACAAAAGCCAAGACAAAGACATTAAAGTGCTCAACTCTGACTACTATGTAAATTTTATGGTTGCACCTTTTCCAAGAAAGCAAAACATGCTAAAAAAGAAAAAAACAGGAAAAAATAAAACAAAGAAAAACTCTATAAAAACCCGCACAAGGCTGTCTTAGGGTCGCAGTCAGTCGACCAGGCGCTAATTATGATATATGTAGGTGAGGTATTCAAGGAAACATTATATAACAACACACATAAATTGATATTAATTGCGGTTTGCGTCCACAACTCATTGACGTCTAAATGCTGTCTAATTGTTTTTGGTCATTATTTTTGGTTTATTAAGTAGCCGCCCTTCTTTTCCAGACAGCGAACAGATTTCTGCAGCGTCATGAACAAATGAAACAGTGGTGGCGGCATAAGGAACGCAAATTATCATTTAATTGCAGCTGGATTCTCAGCTCTATTCCCCCAATGCTAACCCAAAGTTAGCCAGAAAAACGTGGCCCATAAATAGCAACAACTTGGCAAGGAATTGAAAGCACTTGAATACACTTTAGTTATGTAAGATTTATAGTCAAATGACACTGGCTGAAATCAAGCAAATGCATTAACTTGGCTTCAGTCTTACTTTAAAATTACATTCTGTACTTTTTTAAATTAGAAATCATTTTTTAAAAGGGATTTGGGTATTTATTAGTTAATTGCATAATTGTTTATATTAATGGCATCAAGAATAAAATGTTCATTTTTGAAAATATTTCCAATGATCTTACTTTTCTCTTGCAAAATTTATCCATTTTTAAATCTCCTTTTCAAAATGTATTAACGTGATTTATTTTTCGAATTCACCTGATTTTTTTTATACAAATGCAGTTCTTAAATAAATCCAACTTATTCCAATATATTTTACTTAGATAGATGGCGGCATTCGTCAAATTACAGCCTCTGAAAAAAAGTATGCATAAAATCTTTATTAAGTATAGATATTTGTATTCGGATCTAACCCGGAAATATTTTCCAACCAAATTCCAACCCAATACCAATTCTTGGTGACACGAGAATTTTTCTTCGATTATATTAAAAACTCTAGTATGCACCCAAAAAAAAAAGTCTTGTAAAAAATGTATTAATTAAAACCATGGGCGGAATAATAAGATCATTGATTTTCGGAGAATTCTGTAAACCTTGTTTTGATGGATTTTTATAAGAGATTTGCCAACCGTCTTTAAAATATCTAGAGATTTCTATGTCACATCCGATTCATTGATTTATTTACAAAATTTTATTTAAAGTTATTTGAAAGTTTCTTTTTAAGAAGATTTATCCAAGAATTAAATGTGATGTTTTCATCAATATGAAAGCTTCTTTTTGCGAAAAATAATGTTTTAGTTGTGTGAATCATGATGATCATTGTGATTGATCTATCCATATCTATCTTACTCAGATTCGGGGCTTTAGTCAACTGTCAGTGGAGAATAACTAGATAAAATATAGTTGCACTGGCTGGCAGCTAGTTCATTTTGAAGCGAACCTGAAGAGTGCGGCATAATATTTATGTTTAATGTTTGGGATGAGGGTTGGCAATTTATTTGAAACCACATAAAACAAGTGGCGAGTAAAAGTGTAGCCGCTGCTGTGCTTTGGCTTCTGGTGTTGCCTTGGCCCGGCTAATGAACAAACAGAACGGATGATGAAAACCACAGTAAACAAGAGCACAACAGCAGCGCTGGCAAATAGCTGGCCAAAAGGACGTAAGGACTAAAAGGACTTAGCACGTAAACGGGCGCGTTGCATAAGCAAAAACAAACTTCAAACGAGAGCCAAATGATAGCAAACTGACAGCAGTCTGCGGGCAGCGGGGCAGCCGGCAACGAACCAAAAGCAGTGCAGCATTATTAACTTGAATAAAAATATTTACTGCTCGTCAAGGGTTCAGCTATCCACTGCGGCAGTTGGCTGCGATGCGATGACGAAGTGACAAGGACGAAAAACAGTAACTATGATGTTGATGAAATGCGCCACTTAATGCGCGGCCATTTACTTTTGCGCACAAAAGCAGGCTACAGTTATTTTCCTACTGTTGCAGTTTGTTAGCCAAGCCATGATTAAAGTTGATTTTGTTGTAATTTGCTGCTGCCTTTGGGTCTGGCAAGTTTGTTATCGCTGTTGTTGTGCTCCTACTTGTTGTTGTTGTTGTTGTTGTTGTTATTTCTGCCGTGGCTCCCTCTCTTAAGTGGCACAATTTTGTGGCGCTCAAGTGTTTCACCTGCGCTCTGCGTTGTCGCGTCGTCATCTTCATAACGCATCGCTGCTCAAGCGTCTACCCGGGTGCAGCTGAGTGAAAAAACCGCAGCTGCCAAGTGCACGCCGTGTGGGGTTGTGGGGTAGGGCTGGCACAAGGGGGCACGACCTGTCGCCCCACACTGCCTGGCAAAACATGCGCGAATTAATCTTAATTGAAATTCCATGCCGCACAGTACGGCTTGCCATATGCCTTCTGTTTACAAACACACACACACACACTCACACAGGCTCGACTGGCAATAAAATATTAAGCGAAATTAAAATGCGCACTCACACGAATACACAGTGAGTCCTTGCCAAATATGGTTGAGCCTGTTGGCAGCCGCCCATCTCATCATATTTTAAGATATTTTATTTTTCCACATTTTCTTTCCATGCCACACCCACCGGCAGCAGCAGCTCAGTTTATTTTTCATTAAAACGTATTAAAATCCTACACAGCAACAACAAAAGCACACCTACACACACACACACATACACACATTTATGCACTTGCTCTTGCTCTCTCTTTCCATCCACAAACAATTAGACGGCATGCTAATTGTTTTAGAAGGCATTCGCACTTCGTCGCTTCTCGAGTATAACACTACCCCTTTTGCCCCCTGGCAGCCATGCCCCTATTGCTGGCAATCTTGCAGCTTAAATTGAAATTTAATACCATGGCATAATCCATGGGATTGGGCTATACACATGTTAAACACATTTTTGCCTCAACTTTCTTGTTCGCCTTCCCATTCAGAAGCTCCAGCTTCAGAGTTTTTAGCTAAAAATCCTTTTGCCATATTGCAGACAGAGTTCTCGCCAGGGACTTTTACCTGCACATTCTAATTTGTATGCAAATCAAAATCAATAGGATTAACCAAGTTACATAGTGGTTGTAGTTCTGTGGACTGCATTGTTGCTGCTGTTGTTCTTGTTGTTTCTCTTCTGCTGCACGCTGCAAAAATTGTTTTTTAACAAAAATATTTCAATGCATGCAACGTGTGCCGCAGGTATGTTTGGTGGTGTGTGTGTGTGTGTGTGTGTGTTTGTCCTGGAGTGTGTGGCTTAACCGTACATAGCTCTCGGCTTATCTCTAAACCTTTTACACTCTCGCAGATAAGGCAAAGTTTATGTTATGCAGCTTGCCGTTCAAGTTTATAAACTTTTCGGCTGGCTTTGGGCTACTGCATACAGGGTAAGAAGTAAATTAATGATAACTAAATAAGGCAAAAGTGTTTTAATAATTTAATAAAGTGATACAGCTTCTTAAAAAAGAATACGAACACGTATGCAGTAGGATAAATAAAAACGTCAACAAAAAAAAAAATATTGAAAAACGTTAAAGCCTGAGATATGTGAAAATTCCCAGAGGAAAAGCCTAAAGCTGCTTTCTTAAGTAAAACGCGGCTTACTGTGCGCCGAAAGCAATATTTTCAGGCCACAGAGCAGATTTATCAGGCGAACAGTTGGGCGAATTTCTGGCATGCAATGAATTGTTATTTATTTTTAACTGAGACCCACATTGCGCACCTTAATATTTGGATTTTAAGACCTAGTAGCCAAGTTATCAAACAAGTACTTCATATTTTTTAGCTACACTTAATTTTTAGTTAAATATTTTCTTATACGTACTTGAAATTCGTTCTTAGGAAGAACCACCGCAATATTTTTGGCTTAGTTTATATTTCCAAGAAAATAACTTAAGTACACTTAACTCGGTTTAGTTATGAGTATTTGCAACTGTCGCCCCTTTTCACCTGCGATCCGCTCCTGTGCACACACATTGGCCCGCCCTCATGCGAATATGTGTTAATATTGAAAAGGTAGTCGGCTGACAGTTAAGAAAAGAAGAAAAAAACAGCACAAAAATAAACTTTGTACTTTGCCTTCGCTTTTGCGGCTTTCCTTTTGCCGCTGGCCCCAAAGTAAAAGCAGCCTGACAGTTGGGGATTCCAGAGTGCAAAGATAATCCGCAGGCTATATATGTATATGTACGTTTGTGTACTCCTGCTCGCCGATGCAGTTGAAGATTCGGTATCAGGTGAATGCCATAAGCATTGAGCAACATAGCATCACATTTTTTTATACCCTAAACGCATAAAAAAAGGGTAAATTGTTATTGTGTAAATGTATGTAACAGGAGGAGGCAGAGAGAGGCGAGAGATTTGATATCTGCCTGCGCAGATTAAGTTTATTTTTGTTAATTCATAGTTCACTCCCTTTTCATGAAATATATGTCTCGATTGTCAGGACAGATTTAGTATACCATGTCGAAGTTTATAGGAGTTAGGAGCACTTAATGCTGAAGATAGGCTATCTAAGAGTATACACCGATCATAAATATCTCACTTTCTTGGTAAGCTCGCTCCCCCCCAAAATTAAAAACTCATAAATGTCCGTAAAAGCTTAGGCTTTGGTGCTTACGTACACTTGGATGTCACATATATGTCCTGAAAATATCATACAGCTCGGAGAATAAACAGCGGAGTTATTCGAGAACGCATTTCTTATAATGTGAGACTAAATGAAGAAGCAGTACTGCTCGTGTGATTTTGCGAAAATATGTAAAGCTGTGTTCAGGGTATCGCCTAGTCGAGCACTCCCGTCTGCATCACTCTTACATGCTAACCAGCAGCATATGGCAATGGTGGACAAGATGTTGCTGCCACTGGCATCTGTGGTTACATTTATGAACCCATTGCAGCTGTTGCAGCTGCTGCTGCTGCTGCGGGGCTCTAAACGTGCCCGCAACGAACGTATTTCATGATGAATGCGTTTAAACGAACATGCCAAAAGGGGTGAAAAATAAAAGCCATCGAAACGTGGATTTAGCATCGTTTTAACTTGAATTGCAGTTCAAATTGGCCTGAAGAGCAGAGCTTCAACGACATTAATTAGTAGTGAAAAAAAGTGGCTCAGATAGAAACTGCCGCTACTTATGCGAAACACTTTTACTAATTTCATTAAGTGTTTTTTTTTTATATGTTTTTTTTTGTGTTTAGTTTGCCAGCCAAGCCGCCATTTTGCGTAGAAGTGGCGCATTTAATTAGGCTAATAAAGTAATTCAGAGCAGCGAGTGTTGCGTTGCGAGGCAAGTGGTTGCTGTCTACAGTGGCTGCTAATAAAACTGTTATAATGAGTTGGCAGTAACGAGCGGCAATTGGCCTGGTTGAAAGGGTACACACAGACAGAGAGAGAGCGCGAGAGAGAGAGAGAGAGAGAGGGAGAGACAGCGAATGAAAGAAGGAGAGCGAGGGCGAACGTGCGGCAGCAAGGCAAACTATGCCTCAATCAAATAGAAAATAAAATTATCTTGGTAAAAGTGTGCTGGCATGTGTGAGCGTGTGTGCCTGT